AATCCTCTTATATTTAAAAACATTTTTTTAAAAGATTTAAATGTGGACAGTCACAGTGGCTCACCTGTAATCCCAGCAATATGGGAGGCTGAGGCGGGAGGATTGCTTGAGCCCTGGAGTTTAAGACCAGCCTAGGAAACAAAGCAAGAATTTGTCTCATCAAAAAAAAAAATTAGCCAGGTATGATGGCGCGTGCCTATAGTCCTAGCTACTTGGGAAGCCGAGGATTACTTGAGCCCAAGAGGACAAGTCTGCAGTGAGCCATGATCATGCCACTGCACTCCAACCTGGGCGACAGAGTGAGAACCCAACTCAAAATTTTAAAAAAAAAAGAAAGAAATTTAAATGAGCATTCTAGAAATGTGGCATTTAATAGATCTTTAGATGACGTGGTTTGAACTTGAATGTTTTTCTTCCCAAAACGTGTGGCTTTCATTTGCTTTGTCATATGTCACTCCTTTCTCACAGTCTCCCCAAGTTTGACTTCAGGTTGGAATTCTTCCTTTGGGATTGCCTGAGGACCTCACTACTGCTTGCTATTCCTGGGTTCTCATTCAGTTAATTTCATGTGCTCATTTATTTATTGCTTCTTGCATTCTTAAATATGTTTTGATGCCCCTCTAAAGGCATTGGGCAGCTTTGAAGTGTCCTAGGCATATTTGCCATCTGGGAGAGCTTATGTTCATCTCTCTTCCCTTGGGACCCTACTTCTCCTCCTTCCCACCCAGAGGTCCAGCGCCCTCATGCTGCCTGCTGGTTGTCTGAAGTCTCCAATGTAACGCTCTCCCCAAGCCTGCTCGTCCTGGAATAGCCTGGCTCCAGAATTTATCTCCTTTGGCTCCACATCTTTGTTGAGCCAACATCTTTGTTCTCTCAGTGGGGCAGTATCAAAAGCAATGAGAGGAAAACAGCCTAATTTGGATACTCTTCCCAGGGAAACACATTGCTACTTCTGTTGCAGCCATCCATACCTCCAGTATGACAAAAAATGTCAGCAACTCGGTACTTAATTTCCCAAGTGTTTCTAACTCTGAACTAATTTTATATTTAGAAATCTGTGACTCTGGATTATACAACAGATACTCACATGTGGCCCCTTTAGATATTGTCTAATTTGGAAAAACAGCATATACTCATTTAATAATATTTTCTTGAATATCTTTTAGGTGCTCTGGATACTTTTAGGTGATAAAAAAAGTTTGACACTTTGTCTTTGGAACTCATATATAGTGGTATAGGACATAGGAACAAAATATTTTCTTCCGATATATGAATTACATGAACATAGAAGCCTTAGACCTCATTTAGAATTGGGTTAGTTTCACAAGAAATGTGATCTTGATGCCAAACCTGGGAAGGCTGACGTGGGAGGATTGAGAACAGATTTTTATGGCATGAGATTTAGTGTGGACTTCTTTTCTCATACACTGGTGGCTTGTGGAAGTTTGTAAGAAGGGAATGCTGTAGCCAGATCTCTGTTTCTGGAAGTGGCCATACAAAATAAAATAAATTGGAGTGTTGGTGGAATGCTAGCAGGGAAGCTATTGTAATAATTCCCAGACCATATAGAGCAGGCATGTCCAACCTGCAGCCCGTGGGTCACATGCAGCCCAGGACAGCTAGTAGTGCGTCCCTACAAAATTCTTTAACATCATGTGTTTTTTAGCATTTATTTTCTTTGTGACCTCATGCGTAGTTCCATTTTTGAACTTCACAATCATGCCTTACTCATGACATTGCTTTTTGACAGTATATACCTTTGTGAGCAGCTGTTTTCAATTATGAGCAAAATTCAAACAAACATTTCTGACGAGCACCTTGCAAACTCACTAAGAATTGCGACCACTTCCATTGTGCCAGATATTGGTAGATTAGTTTTACAAAAAGAAGGTCAAATTTCCCACTAGTTTTATAGTGTTCTCATTTTCCTAAATGTTATAATAAAATATTTAGAAAGAATTCTTTATATGTATAACACACGCACACATGCACGCATACACACAAACTATATTATGCCTTTTTGTTCAGTGCATAGGAAAGCCAAAAGATTGGACACCCCTGATGCAGAGGGATTTAGGGATGGTTTTCTGTTAGGAAGATGGATTGAAGACTTGTCTTGGGACTGTGTTTGTATAGTAAGCTCACTGTTTGCTGTTAAGGTTATCGTTTACATGCTTACTTTTAACTAGAACTGAATGATGTCACAGATGAACAATTAAGCTCTCCTCACTGCCTCCCCTCATCTGTAGGCAGCAGGGTGCAAGGTCTGGCAGTGGAAATAAAATCTGCATTGATTCCAATGCAGAATGTAGGGAGAATCAGCAGTACTCCATGTGTGGGAAAAGGCTCACAAGGAAGCAGGGAGTGAACCAGACTGTTGTACTTGGTAGGATTCATGAGACAGAACAGTCTGATCTTAGATTTTAGGCGGGTGGAATGACAGGACCTGAGGCAAGAAGATGAAAAAACACAGAAAGGACATATTCAGGCCCCAGGGGTGCTTCAGGCTGGCTGGGGAGAGTTACTAATTGGAGCCTGTGGCCAGATGTGGTATAGTGAGAAAAAACATTGCAGGTGGGTTGGATCCAAAGTACACTGTTATTTGATACATACGAGGGGGGACCCCCCCCAAAAAAAGCCAGACTTATCTTTTGGAGGACAGGCCCCTTGTAGTACAGACGTGCCCCACTAGGTAAGTGTTCTAGGGACCCATCAGCATCAGCTAGTGTTTTTGTGAGAGATGGCGTTTAGCTTCAGTGAATTTTTTTTGGAGATTCTTTCATGCGTTTGCCCATTTCCTGATGGGTGATTTACAAGTGCACCTGTCCACACTGTGTCGAGCGTTCAGCAGTTTTTGACCAAAAAGGCATGACCCTCGTGCCGCACCCTCCCTGTTCACCCGATCTCACCCCGAGTGACATTTTTTTTTTGTTTCGCCAAATGAAAGAAGTCCTCAAAGGGGAAAACTTTCCCCATGTGGAAGAGGTGAGACGAAAAAGTCATCCAAATTGGTGAGTTCAGAAACTGTTTAGGGCAGTGGAGAAAGTGTCTTGCATCAAACGAAGTGTACTTGTAGGTGACCAAAGTTTAAATATGTAAGAATAAGTACACAATTTTTCATTAATAAATTTTGGGGTTGTTTTGACCCCCCCATATATACAATGGACCATTTTGCAGCTATAAAAATATATATATATCAGGCCGGGCTCAGTGGCTTAGCCTGTAATCCCAGCAATTTGGGAGGCCTAGGTGAGTGGATTGCCAGCCCGCATGTTCAAGACCACCCGGGCAACTTGGTGAGACCTCGTCTCTACAATAAATAAAATATTAGCTGGGCATGGTAGCTCATGCCTGTAGTTCCAACTACTTGGAAGACTGAGGCAAAAGGATTGCTGGAGCCCAGCAGGTCGACACTGGGGTGACCGTGAGTGTGCCACTGCACTCCAGCCTGAGTGACAGAGTGAGACTCCAACTAAAAACAAACAACAACAACAAAAAGAACACATTATGTTTTTCACAGCAACATGAATGCAGCTGGAGACCATCATTCTAAGTGAACTGTCACAGAAACAAGGAACTAAATACCGAATGTTCTTACTCATAAACAGGCCCTGATCACTGGACACATGAGCACAAGGGAGGGATTGGCAGACAGTGGACACTGCTAGGAGAGGGAGGGAGAGAGGAGGGAGGGGACAAGTGGCAATACATTGGGTACCAGGTTCACTATGGGGGGAGAGAGGGCCCACTGGAAGCCCAAACTCCACCTGCATGCAACTGACTTATGTAGTAAGTCCTCACCAGTATCCCACACTCTAAAATAAAATGAAATAAAAACCATCTATGTGATTCTAGAAAATAAAATAAATAATCAAATTTTAAAAATACATGTTCTAGAAGTTTGGACTTTGGTGGTGGTGGGGATTTTGATCATAATAATTTTGTAGCCAAGACCAATTTTAGGAAGATAAACTTGTAAGGAGCAACAAGGATATACTAGAATCTTAAAGGACCCAAAATAGGAATTCCAGGAACGGTGAGATCGTTGCAGTTTTCTTTCCTGGGATCCAGAGGGCTTAGTCATGTCACTGAGAGTCTGAGAGGTTGCCCAAGTTCACACAGATACACAGGGATGCTCTTGTAACCTGAACCCAAGATTTTCATGTTTAAAGGTCATACTTTAAAGGTTTACAGTGCTACCTTGAGATGAGAGAAAATGAAGATGAGGAGGAAGGGATTTAATGATTACAAGTCAATGGTAGAATTCAAGGAAGCATTTTCTCCCAAGAGATACATATAAAAGCCAATTTTCAGGGAACTATGGAAGAACTGGGTAATAACAAAACAGCTTCTCAAGCTATTTCAATGATTGAATAGTAGATGAGGCCAATCACTTGCTGTGCAAATATTTCATTCTTTATCAATTGTCCAAAAATCCTATGTCTGATGTAATTTTTGCTCTCATATTCACCTCTTTTCTGCTCAAATGACTACTTGTTCCTTTTCTCTTGGTTCCTCAATGTTATTCATGTCCCTGAGACAGTAGGTCTGTGGCCAAGTGTCAGTGACATGTGTTTGGTCTTTCTTTCCTCTCTTATTCATGCATGGTGAACTTTTGTTGATTTTGAGAAAGACAGAAGTTGACCTTTGAGATGACTCTATAGTAATCTTAGTAAAAACAACAGAACTAGCAAAATATTTTTTAATCTCATTTGTAAAATAAAACCATGAGCTTCATCCCAAGTGAACTTAATGAAGTATTTAGTGCCAATGACCATATAGTAAAATCCATATTGTCATTTGGAAAACAAATGCTGCTTGTTAATTGTCTTAGAATTTGTGGATTGCTTTTGAAATCTCTAGTTCTTTGAATTAAAGAACTCATTAATTTTTTTTAAAAAAATTCAAGTCTTAGATATTGTTGTTTTTTTCCCCAAAAAAATGTACAGTCGTCACCATATTGATACCATTTGTGTGTTTTGTGTTTTATCCCTGATTAGGGCATCATTGCAGAATACAACAAAATCAATGATGTAAAGGAAGACGATGACACAGAGAAGTTTAAAGAAGCTATCGTGAAATTTCACCGACTGTTTGGGATGCCAGAGGAAGAGAAACTTGTCAACTATTACTCTTGCAGCTACTGGAAGGGGAAGGTCCCCCGTCAGGGTTGGATGTACCTCAGTATCAACCACCTTTGCTTTTATTCTTTTCTTATGGGAAGGGAAGGTAAGTCACTCCAAATTTCAGAAGGAAATTCTAGAAAGTCTACTGAGATTTTCCCTGAACTCAGAAACCAAATCACAATATCCAGAATAAATCTATAGTTAATAACTTAGCACTATTTTTTGACTATTTGACAGGCGAATCTAATTGTCTTTCCGCTCAATATCTGTAAAGAATTGGTCATTAGGTAATAAAGGTTCACTAAGGATGTAATTAGTTAAGTAGACCTGGACTTAAATCTATGATAATTCTGAACTCAGGATTGATGCGATCTGGATTTGTCTTTTACAACTAGCAAACAAAACAAATACAGGCTTACAAGCTCAAAGGAATTCAGTGGGATTGGGGAGCGGGCTGTGAGGATGCAGTATCTTGAAAGGATTTTCAGGAGCCTGATGTTGACCCAGCTGTGTTCTCTGTACTCAGCCAAACTGGTCATCCGGTGGGTGGACATCACTCAGCTGGAGAAGAATGCCACACTGCTGCTGCCTGATGTAATCAAAGTGAGCACACGGTCCAGTGAGCATTTCTTCTCTGTATTCCTCAACATCAACGAGACCTTCAAGTTAATGGAGCAACTCGCCAACATAGCCATGAGGCAGCTCTTGGACAATGAGGGCTTTGAACAAGATAGATCCCTGCCCAAACTGAAAAAGAAATCTCCTAAGAAAGTGTCTGCTCTAAAACGGTGGGTGATAAGAGACTTGGAGTCTTCCAGACTTTAGAATGAGAAACTCATCCATGCATGCATTTGATGTAATCTTTTCTGAACAACTTCAAGGGTTCTAAAGGTTTCTGGAAATGGATACAAAACTGAAAAAGAGCCTATGGTCTACAAATCTTTTTTTTTTTTTTTTTTCAAATTAGCCAAACATGGTGGAGCATGCCTGTAGTCCTAATTACTCGAGAGACTAAGACAGGAAGATCGCTTGAGCCCAGGCGTTTGAAGCTGCAGCGAACCACAAACATGCTATTACACTTCTGCCTGGGCAACAGAGCAAAATGCTTTCCCTAAAAAATGTAAATGATGCAGACATGACCTGCTTCAGCACAGTGGGATGGGAGCACTTCTGGTCCTTTGAACAGAGTGCCACAGGTGCACACATGGGGAATGTTTGCCTTGGCTCAGATGGGACAAAGTGGGTAAGAAAGATCCCTCAGTGAAGGCTGCCTTGAGCTGGGCTCTGAAGAGCTCATAGAAGTTACCCACACAAGTACATACCCATGCATGGATATTTTAGGCAGAGGGAAGGTCATGATGGAAAATGGAGGGAAGGGAAGTAAGTTCATCATGTAGCTAGGAGGTGGCACGGTGTGGGATGAGGAGAGGTTGCAGAAAAGCCTAGAAGTCAGATGTGGGGATAGAGCTAGAGAGAAGGTGAGGGGAACTTGCCCTCCAAAGTGTGACTGCATGCGTGGAATTGCCCACCACTGAGATGAGGAATGAGAGGAAAGACCATGGCCGGGGGACATGTGGGCTCAGTCTGGATTATGTTAGGTTGCCTGCGGGACATCTCGGTGGAGATCAGTCTGGTGGGATACACAAAACTGAAAATCATTGGCATGCAAGGGGAGTTGGAGTTTGAAAAGATCTTTGCAATTAAGATGTCTTTGGTGAATTTGAGACATGTTTCAAAAGAACAGGGAAGGAGAGATGCTATTGCTGTGGTCGATCAAATAGCAAATAGAAGGCAAGGCAATGGAATTGGGCAGATATAGACCACTTGTACAAGGAATCCAATGTTAGAGGAGGGCCAGTTGCTTTTTTGTATAATGGAAAATATTTGAACATAGGATTGAATGAAGGAGGCTGATTGGAAGAGTTTGTGGGTGAGGGTGGGTGCAGGATTGGGAAGGGAGCATGGAGATAAAGCTATAAGAAAATGATTAATTTACAGGCCGGGTGTGGTGGCTCATGCTGGTAATTCCAGCACTTGGGGAGGCCAAAGCGAGAGAATTGTTTGAGACCAGGAGTTCAAGGCTGTGGTGAGACATGATCATTCCACAGCACTCCAGCCTGGGCAACAGAGTGAGACTTCGTCTCTGCAAATAAAGAATAAAAAATAAAAAAAATTAGCTGGATGAGGCGGCACATGGCTGTAGTACCAGCTACTCTGGCAGCTGAGGCAGAAGGATTGCTTGTGACCAGAAATTGGAGGCTGTGGTGAGGCATGATCACAACACTGTCCTTCAGCCTGGGTGACAGAGTAAGACCCCAATTCAAATAATATTAATAATAATTTTCAAAGGATGTCTTGTAGGGCATGGAAGGGCTGCTGATACCTCTCCCTTTGAAACGGGAAGAAAAGGAAAAGTAGGGTGAGGAAGGAGGTGATTTGGAAACAAAAGGGAGAGAATTAGAGGGAACTTCTGCATCAGGCCTCTCTTTGCTCTGTAAAACCAGAACTAGACCATCAAGGGGCTGAAATAGAGTAGAAGCTTGATGGGAGAGGTTTAAATAATGGAAATGGCTGGGTGCGGTGACTTGTGCCCATAATCCTAGCATTTTGGGAGGCCAAGTCAGAAGGATCACTTGAAGCCAGGAGTTTGAGACCAGCCTGGGCAAGATAGTGAGACCCTCGTTTCTACAAAAAAAAAAAAAAAATTGTTTTCTTTTCAAATTAGCCAAATGTGGTGGTACATGCCTGTAGTCTTAGTTATTCCAGAGGCTGAGGCAGGAGAAGCACTTGAGCCCAGAAGTTCAAGGCTGCAGTGAGCCATGATCATGCCACTGCACTCCAGTCTGGGTGGCAGAGACCCTTTCTCTAAAAATAAATAAATAAATAAATAAATAAAAGTACAAAATAAAAATAAAGAAAGAAATAGGATACGATGAACAGGAAAAAAGAACTCATTAAGGAAAAGATTATAGTCAGCAGAAGACCCAGCTGAGATCGGCAACCATAGGTGGGTTGCTCCTGTGTTTTTTCATGCAGTTTTTTTGGGTTGAACGGTGACACCCAGCCCATTTGGGTTGAACGGTGACACCCAGCCCAGGTGGTTGGTTTGCGTTCTCATTAAGTCTTAGGAAGTAAGGCCCAAAAAGTGACTGTCCTCATCTCTTTAGCAATTACTGCATTTCTTTAGACATGAGAACAAATTTCCTGTTCAGGCCCAGTTTTCCTAAAGATTTTTAACATTTGCAGACATCAATTGTAAAATGGCTACACAACGGACCTGAATATATTAAAATAATTTGATTGTGCTTTTGAGTTATTAGGTTGGAATTCACCCCACCATAAAGCTAAGACGATTGGGGTGAGTCCCACAAGATTGAAGAGGGTAAAGATGGACTGGGTGACTACCCTTCCTGCATTGTTTAGAAAATGTTAGAATATTTTTCTCATGTGAGGTGAATGATGATTGTTGCTTTCCAGTGATCTTGATGCCAGGGCAAAGAGCGAGAGATACCGTGCCCTTTTCCGGCTGCCCAAAGATGAAAAATTAGATGGCCACACAGACTGCACCCTCTGGACTCCATTTAACAAAATGCACATTTTGGGGCAGATGTTTGTGTCCACAAATTACATCTGCTTCACCAGTAAGGAGGAGAACTTATGTAGCCTCATCATCCCACTCCGTGAGGTAAGTATCAGATTAAAATGAGTATTTTAAAAGTTCCATTTATAATACTTTTCTTCATGAACCGGAATTATTATTATTATTATTTGCAGTAGTTGGTTGACTTTTAACTGTAGGTGAATGTTCCTAAGTCTTTGGTGGCATCTGTACTCTTTCATTTGTTGTCATTTCTGTGACTGTGTAGCCCATGAGATCCCTTCCTCCAAAAGCAGTGTGAGTTCTAAAATACAGGTTTTATGATTATTCAGGTAGGGTGAAGCCAACAGATCAGGGGATGGGTGCTATTGAAAAGACAGTCTGTGGCTGGGCTTAGTGGCTCACGCCTGTCATCCCAGCACTTTGGGTAGGAGGATTGCTTGAGCCCAGGAGTTTGAGACCAGCCTGGGCAACATAGCAAGATCTCATCTCTCCAAAAAATAAGAAAAATTAGCTGAGCGTGGTGGTATGTAACTGTAGTCCCAGCTATTCAGGAGGCTGAGTTGAGAGGATCACCTGAATCCAAGAGGTAAAGTCTGTAGTGAGTCATGACCGTGCTGCTCTAGCCTGGGCCACGGAGTGAGACCCCAACTCCAAAAAAAAGATAGCTTGTTATACTCACAGTTCCTGAGAGGAGCGGACAGAGCACGCCATGCACAGGGCCACATACGGTAGCAGGGTCAGTTGGGCTGCAGGAGAGAGGGACGATAGAAGCAAAATCTTTTATTGTGACTCCCAAAGGAAGAAATGAGTTAACCTGAGAATGTATTATGGTAGAGACTTAAAACTTGCAGAGATACAGATTCAGAAGCCAGGGTAAACAGGATTGGCTAGTTTGGACAATTTAGGTAGGCTCTGGGGCACTGGGGCTGTCCCTAGATGTCTGGTACCTGGCCCTGAGGTGATGAGGACAAGAAGAGTGACCCTGAGAGGGGTGCTGATAAAGGAAGTGGTTGGGGTGTGAGCTCTGGATTGCTTTTGCTTCCGAAAGCCATTTTCTGGGAATTGGCTAGCCCTGGGTAGAGCAGTCTCTCCAGGAACAGTAAGGTCTCTAGATGTCAAAGCGTCAGATAAAGCAATTAGGAAACAGACTCACAGCCTGAGCGCACCTGGTCCAAAGGAGATAGTCTAGGTTGTGGGTCAGAAAGCCAAGAGTGTGCTGGGGTCTGGTTTGCTGATTCCCTGCATTAGAACCATCGTGCTGCTGGTCACAATGGCAGGTTTCTGAGCCCATCCCAGGGCTTCTGAATCTATATCTCTGCAAGTTTTAAATCTCTACCGCAATACGTTCTCAGGTTAACTCTCAAGCACAGTAAAGTCTAAGAAACATTATTATTGTTCTGGGGTGGAGTTGGGTTCCCTCACATCTCCAGGATGAAAGGTTACTCTGGTTTGGAGTTTACAAAGAACCCAGGTTAGGGGTCAGTGCAGGGGCTAGCAGCCCTGCAATTTCTTTTTTTCTTTTTTTGAGTCAGAATCTTATTCTATCACCCAGGCTAGAGTACAGTGACACAATCATGGCTCACTGTAGCCTCGACCTCCTGGGCTCAGGAAATTCTCTTACCTCAGCTTCCCATGTAGGTGGGACTACAGGTATGCACTATCATGCTTGTTAATTTAAAAAATTTTTTGTGGAAATAAGGTCTCATCATGTTGCCCAGGCTGCTCTCAAACTCCTGGGCTCAAGCAAAACTCCCACAGTGTATGGATGATAGGGGTGAGTCATTGCTCCTGACTGCCCTGCAATTTCTAACCTGGCAACTTCCAGCCTACCCTGGTCTTTTTCTGGAAACTAAGGTAGTCAAAAGCTTTGGACATTCAATTAGGAGTGTACCTTTGCTACAGATTCAAGTTTCTGCCTGCCTTCCTTGCTTCTTTTAAAGATGTGGAGTTCAATTCAAGATTAGGTATACAAGTGCTCATTGTACAGTTTGAGTTTCCCGTTGGTCCCCACTTTGCCTGGTTTGAGACCAGGTACCATTACTGATGTGGTGCCTCCCATTCACCCACCCCTGGGAGTATCCCGCTACTGCCAATCCCCGTTTTTGTTTTTTTGTTTTTTTTTTCTTGAGTTGGAGTCTCACTCTGTCACCCAGACTGGAGTGCAGTGGCCACTCCTGGCCACCACAGCCTCTACCTGCTGGGCTCCAGCGATCCTTCCGCCTCAGCCTTCCAAGTAGCCAGAATTACAGGCATGCACTACCATGCCCGGCTGATTTTTTGATTTATTGTAGAGATGAGGTCTCGCTGCCCAGGCGGGTCTCGAACCCGTAGGCTCGGGCAATCCACTCACCTCAGCCTCCCAAAGGCGCAGGATTACAGGCTGAGCCACCGAGCCTGGCTGACAATCCCTTTCTTATAGTATTATGGTAAGTGCTCAGGGTCCACTTACAAGTGAGAACACGTGGTACTATGTTCTTTGTTTCTGTGATAGATCACTGAGTATGATAGACTCTAAATCCATCCAAATTGCTGCAAAGTTCATGTTTGTCTTCTCTATGACTGTGTAATATTCCATTGTGTATATGTACCACATTTTTTTAATACAGTTCAGTTTCGATGGGCAGCACGGTTGGTTCCATGTTTTTGCTATTGTGAATAGTGCTGCAGTAAACATGCGTGTGCAAGTATCTTTTTTGTAGAATGGTTTGAGCTCCTCTGGGTATATTCCCAGTAAGGGGATTGCTGTTTTTTGTTTTTTGCTTTAATTACTTAAGCACTTTTTCTTGTTTTAAGAGTAATACATTTTATCACAAAAAATATGTAAAAGTATAGACAAATAAAAAGAAAAATTTCTCTCTTGGTTTCACCATTCAGAGATGACCATTGTTAGCAGTCTGTTGTACAGCTTTCTAGATTTTTCTTTTCTGCATTGTTGTTACTGTGTCATTCATGTAACTTAGATGTAAAACATTTTGTAGGGAATTTTTAATTATTTTTTGAACAGTGAGTGGATTTTAAAATGTCCCTCAAATAATTAAATATTCTTCTACAATGTAATTTTTGAAATTCGCGTGGTGGCTCAAGCCTGTAATCCCAGCACTTTGAGAGGCCAAGGTGGGAGGATTGCCTGAGCTCAGGGGTTCGAGATCAGCCTGGGCAACTTGGTGAGATTTCGCCTCTACAATAAATCAAAAAATAAGCCGGGTATGGTAGCGTGTATCTGTAGTTCCAGCTACTTGGAAGGCTGAGGAGGGATTGCCTGAACCCAGTGGTTTGACGCTGGGGTAGCCATGAGCATGCCACTGTACTCCAGCCTGGACAACAGAGTGAGACTCCAATTAAAAAAAAAAAAAAGAATGCATACCTTCATGTTCTCACTCACAAGTAGACCTTGGACAACTATCATAATACTATAAGAAAGGGATTGACAATAGTGGGAAACTGCCAGGGGAATGGGGGCATACCTCATCAACAAGGGTACATGCATAATGAACATTTGTATACCTAGGTTTGAATTGTACCCCATGTATTTAAAGTAAAAAATTAAAAAATAAAATAAAATAAAATTTGTGTGTCATCCTTGCCTAAGGGCCACGCTAATCTTTTCTGCATTTTTCCAGTTTTAATATATGTGCTACTGAAGTAAGCATGTAATTTTTTAAAGAGAGGAATCTTGCTAAGTTGTCCAGGCTAGACTCGAACACCTGGACTCATGCAATCCTCTTGCCTCAGCCTCCTGTGACTGGGGTTATAGGTATGCACCATAGCACCCAACTCACAATGTAATTTTTAATAACTGCATATTATTCCATGAAGTGTATATACATAATGTATTTATTCAATTGCCTGTGATTGGGCCTTTTTATTGTTTCTAGTGTTCTTCCAATCATACATATAAGTTTCCTTAAGTTATAATTTGCAAACATAAGCTGAATTGGTGGATCAAAAAGAATGCAAGATGTTAGACGATGGACAAACCTAGTTCTCCTTGTTATAGGGTCAGCCAACTGGTGTTCCAACACATTTTGAGACCAGGATACGTGGATGAGGGTGTATCTGAGGTAGAAGCTTAACAGCATTCACCTTTGTCTGTGAAATGTATTTTATAACTTTTCGCAGCAAATTTACCTTCTTAGTCTTTGCTGTGGGTTGTGACTGAACGTTATTGTCTTCATATAATCCTAATTGTAATTTTATTTGTCAAGTATTCCCTGAATGTGGTAAAGCAGCATTTACCTGGAAAAGCTAGGGAAACCCATTATGGGAATAACTAAGCTGGGTGCTGGGCATGGTGGCTCATGCCTGTAATCCCAACACTTTGGGAGGCAGAGGCGAGAGGATTGCTTGAGCCCAGGAGTTTGAGACCAACCTCGGCAACATAGCAGGACCTCATCTCTACAAAAATCCTCAAATTATCTGAGCACGGTTGCATATGCCTGTGGTCCCAGCTACTAGGGAGGCAGGGGTGGAAGGATTGCCTGAGCCCAGGAGTTTGAGGCTGTGGTGAGCCATGATCGTGCCACTCCATTCCAGCCTGGGGGGCAGAGTGAGAGCTAGACTCAAAAAAAAAAAAAAAAAAAAATGGAGGAAGGGAGGGAGGGAAGGGAGGGAAGAAAAGAATATACTATGGGCATGCCACTTATGAATCTGAGTGAGTCATCACTCTCAGTTTATCCCGAGGGAAACGAGGGACAGAGGGGTCTAGAAGTTGTTGTCAGGACATCTGCTGTCCTTCTGGTTACCACCACTTGGGTGTTGGGGCCAGCTTGCTCTGTTTATGTTTTAGTGCGGTTTAGAATACACTAGTGAGAGCTCAGGGGAATTGAGAGAAGGTGATTCATATGCTCAACCCATCATCTGCTGGCTAATTTTCCCTAACTGAGCAGAGAGAGTTCAGCCCTTTTTCTGGGTAAATCAGAAAAGGGGCAGTCATGGAGGCATGTTGTGGTTGGAAGATGCAGCTTTAAGAAATACTCAGTGATCCAGGAGTGCCTTCTCTCTGATCTGGTGAATCGCTGTGATATTTTAATGGTGGCCCCCTAACCCCAACTAATGGAAGAAGCAAAGGACTTAATGTAAATTTTATTACCATTAGGTAATGATAATGTCAGAAAAGCAACCGGGTGGGCCCCCACCCTTTGTGTGGGGGCTGTTTGAGTATTGAGTGTTCCGCCACTGGAGCTGGATACTAAACAAAGTCAAGCTGATAGATTAGCAGGAATTTCCATGAGAGCATTACATCCCACTTGGAATGGCTGCTTTTAGGATTGTGTAGGTCAGGAATCGCTGTTTCATGTAATTTCCTATAAATGAGCTGAAATATTGATGGAGGTTGTTAACATACGTTCCACCTATTGACTTAAGGTAGACCCGATCGACAGATGTTAAGTGTATACCCACAATCATGTTGCTAGAGATTCTGTAGAGAACACTGAGACAACAAACCAGAAGCAGGAAGATTCTTTTCTTTTTTCCAGTCATAAGCTGCCTTGCCGTTGTTCTATATGAAGTACCAAGATTTGATGAATTTTGCAGTCTATTTTATAACCCAAGTTGGTCATGAAAACGTGCCTCCTTATATTGGAGAAAACCCTATTGTAGCTGTTTTCCTTTTCTGGTCACACAAGCTTAGGTGATAAGAGTTTTTCTAGAACTCACTTATCAGTGAGAAATATGTGGTATCCTGTCTGAGCATTTGCAGGTTTGATGAGGAAACTTTCTTGCTTGAATATTCATGATCCAGTCAGATTAAGGACTTTGCCACTTTTACACCTTCGAGATCCACAGGGCTATCTATGTTTTAGACACATAATTTAAACCTTTAACCACCTTGGTATTTTCCATTTATCCCAGACACCTCATAATCAAAAGAACCAGTAAAAATTTGATTTGAGAAAGGGGTTTTGTAGCTCTTTTTAAAATACATATTGTTTAACACATGTGTTAAGTGTCATGGGAAAATTCTTTTCATGAAAAGGGGAGTATTTGTTCCCTTTATTTAGCATTTATTGCATTAGAAAAAAATCCCTTATGAAATCCTTTATATGGAACTCCAGGCGTCTCAGAGAATTCCTTTACACATACATAAATATATACATATGTGTTTAAAAGAATATATATATTTAATCTGACATATTAATAAATAACCTGACATTATATATGTTATGTATAACATAATTTACACACATATGTAGATATAATCTGAGCGTAGAAGTCACGTCTTGCATTTTTTTGCCCTTGTTCTGGACCCCAGCCAAACCTACTTGGCACTTGGGGCCATGCAACTCTTTTTAGGCAACTTCAATAGGTTACTTAGCCTTGAAGGGAGGGAAAGTTTCCAAAGTTCTGCTTGGGAGGAAAATGCTAATGATTAAAGTTGAGCCTGTGTAGACTGCTTGTAAGTAGAGTTGAAGGGGGAAAAAGAAACATGGCTTTAGCTGTGTAGTCCAAGCTGCTACAAGTAAACCATTTGTCTAGTGCTTGCCTTGAGATGTGTTTCCTGGTGTGCTGAAGGATTTTAATGCCTTTATCCTAGTTTCCAGTTGATGAAAATCCTATTATAAACCACCAATGTATGTCCTCTGTTTAGAGCTAAAACAGATGGCTCCCTTTTTTTCTCTCCCCCAATGTGGTAGACTTCAGCACACATGTGTGCACATACATGAGCTCTGTAAGTTCAGACAGAGTTGCAGTTAATCTCGTCACAGTCACCTTCAAAGTACTCCCCTTGGGAAGCTGTACACCAATGTCAGCACCTAATCCACCCATCAAAGCCATTTTGGAACTCTTTTTCTAGAAAGGCCATCAGAGCTGTCATCCTTATTTGTCAAGGTCTGGCAATTAAGTTCCCAAACTTGCCACATATGCTTACATTGGCAGCACTATACAAATAACTGTATTGGAACACCCTCCTTACTCACCTGATCTGGCCTTCCAAATACTTTTTCTTTAGCTGAAGATAAAGGAAATATGGAAAGCAAGACATTTTGATGACATTCAGGACTTCAAGGCTAATACAACGACAGCTCTGATGGCCATTCCAGAAAAAGTGTTCCAAAATTGTTTTGGCGGGTGGACTGGGTCTTGGAATTGGTGCATACCTTCCCAAGGGGAGTACTTCGAAGGTGACCCATAGTGATATTCAGCAGTGAGGCAGGTCGCACTTTTTCTAGGATGAGTTCGCAAATTTAATTGCTGGACCTCGTAAGCTCCAAACAGTTTGTAGGAACAGAGTCAAAGAATCTGAGTTTTACCTCAATGAAATATGAGTGCTCTCTATAGAATAATAAAAGTGTTGTGTTCCTTCTTCAGTGCTGCTCGTAGACTGCTACTGGGTAATTCTTGGAAAGTAATGCTCTGTGTTTCATGTTTCTCTCCAGGTGACAATTGTAGAAAAGGCAGACAGCTCCAGTGTCCTCCCCAGTCCTTTATCCATCAGCACCCGGAACAGGATGACCTTCCTGTTTGCCAACTTGAAAGACAGAGACTTTCTAGTGCAAAGGATCTCAGATTTCCTGCAGCAGACAACTTCCAGAATATACTCTGACAAGGAGTTTGCAGGAAGTTACAACAGTTCAGATGATGAGGTCTGTGGAATATACCTAAAGGTGTCTTGATTTGTCCTTTTATTCTGCCTGAGAGCATCCACGTCTGTGTTCGTTTTGTTTGATCTTCATGCTTTGCAGCTATGATAGAAGAAACAACCAATCCCAATGCCCAGAGCAGTATCTCAGCAGTATCTCACTGAAATCTCATGGAGTTTATATTTGGTATTATAGAGCTGGGAGGCACCTTATAGATCACCCAGTCTAACCCTTTTATTTTACAGTTGAATAAGCTATTAAGTAATCTGTCCTCATTACATAGCAAGTGTCTTTGGTTCATACTTTGTTGAGAATGGGACCAGGGTCACTAAATAAAGTCTCAGACCTGAAAAACAACATCATGATAGTGATTTTTTCATGATAAAATATATATTGTACCCCTGTGGAATTGGGCCCTGGACCAACTTCCAAGAAAACTGGAGCCCCGATGAGACAGGAATCCAGTTAAAGTGACAGAGCAGGTCACGGGAAGAGGGGGCATGTTTTAAAGATGGTAGGTTGACACAAAGCATCGCAGTTCCTGTCTGCCTGCTCCAAGCTCATGTGGGCATTTTTAAAGCCCAGAAGCTAGAGGACATAAGGTATCCCCAGAAGCTCCTGATTCAACCATGGCTTGCTTTGCATAGATGCAACTCAGAGAGACTAATGGTCAAACCCTTTGTTGCAAATATGCATATACAAATATGCATATGCAAATATATATTGCAAATATGCATATACACACTTGCATATGCAAATATGCATATACGAATGAAACCACTTTAGAGCACAAAAGTGCTGAGCCTATCACCCAGGCTAATCCCTGCCCAAATGTTGGCCTGTTGCTTTTCTTCTGTTTCTTCACTAGCAAGAAATATCTTGAAATAATAATGTGTCTATGGATGACTGTGCAGAGGACACTGAAGGAGTAGATTCTGCTGCCCATACCTTCCCAATGCCTTGTTCCTCTCTGCGCCGGCAGGTGTATTCTCGGCCCAGCAGCCTTGTCTCCTCCAGCCCCCAGAGAAGCATGTGCTCCGATGCTGATGGAGAGCGTCAGTTTAATCTCAATGGCAACAATGTTCCCACAGCCACACAGACCCTCATGACCATGTATCGGCGGCGGTCTCCCGAGGAATTCAACCCGAAATTGGTGGGTGCCTCTCGCTTTTCCCCCAACTTTCTATATTGGAATGCCTTTTAAAATATATATTTTTTAGCTGGGCACTGTGGCTCACGCCTGTAATCCCAGCACTTTGGGAAGCCAAGGTGGGAGGATTGCTTGAGCTCAGGAGTTTGAGACCAGCCTGAGCAACACAGTGAGACCTCATCTCTACAAAAACCCAAAATTTAGCCAGCTGTGGTGGTGTGTGCCTGTAGTCCCAGCTACTCAAGAGGCTGAGGCAGAAGGATTGCCTAAGTCCAGGAGGTTGAGGCTACAGTGGGCCATGATCATACCACTGCACTTCAGCCTGGAGTAAGATAGAGTAAGACCCCAACTCATAAATTTTTTTTTTACTATTAGTAAACTCATAAATATCTATGTAGATTAAAATGGTCTTATAAGTAAAGCATATATATATATATTTTTTTTTGAGTTGGAGTCTCACTCTGTCCTCCAGGCTGAAGTGCAGTGGCATGCTCACGGCCACAGCATTGACCTGCTGGGCTCCGGCGATCCTTCCGCCTCAGCCTTCCGAGTAACCGGAATTACAGGCGCGCGCTACCACGCCCGGTTGATTTTTTGATTTATTGCAGAGATGAGGTCTCACTGCCCAGGCGAGTCTCGAACCCGCAGGCTCAGGCAATTCACTCACCTCAGCCAGTAAAGCATATTTTGTTCAAATATGTTTTAGATTTCAGAGTGGCTTCGTGGAAGGAGATGAGTTTTAGAAGGTATGGGTGGCTGGTTTTGGTCTTGTTTTGTTTTTAACTATTGTTTAAGTCAGCCAACAAATAAGTACACAGTTTCTTGGCCCACATTTAAAAAACCGTTAACTCACTTTCACTTGGGGGGGGAGGTGTAGACATAAAGTCATAAATATAATTGTCATTCTACTAACCCATCTCTGGTAAGTGGGATGCTGACTCTGGATCAATAAGCTTCGAGGCAGGACTGCAGACTATGATAGATGTGTAGAACCGGGGAAGAACTCCAGAAAATCTGAGTTCTTTGCTCGCGTGGTTTTTTCTAAAACTTGTCCACCCTTTCAGCCAGGAAAATGTTCTGCCTCTCCATCACACTTTTCCTCACCATCTTTGACATACTTTGGGATGTCGCTAATGTCTCATCATCCCTTTCAGGCCAAAGAGTTTTTGAAAGAGCAAGCCTGGAAGATTCACTTCGCTGAGTACGGGCAAGGGATCTGCATGTACCGCACAGAAAAGACACGGGAGCTGGTGCTGAAGGGCATCCCAGAGAGCATGCGTGGTGAGCTCTGGCTGCTGCTCTCAGGTACGGCCATGCTGGGGCGGGAGCACTGGTGCCAGAGTCTGCTGGACCCTGGGGCCTCCCTTCTTCCTTCCATCATACCTCAGGGAGCTTCCAGATATGCAACCCCCCATCTCAAGCTACATGTCATTTCCTCAGCAGTGTTGAAGTCCCTCAATTCCTCTTCCCATCACAGACTCAGAGCAAGCAGGCCAGATGTCAAAGCTACCACCCCTCAGTCCTCAAAACCACTTACATTTCTTCAGTAAGGTCACTGGCATTAAAAAGGAGAACCTGCAGTAAAAGAGTAGAATGCTTTGTGGTTTGGAGAGTTCTTTTCTCTTTTCCTAGTTGTGTCAATTTCAGTGAGAAGGTTAAGGTGTGGTGTGTTCTTAGAACAGCCATGGGTGGGAAAGTAGGGGGACCTGAGAGGAATAAGAAGGCCTGACCTTGGTTTCTGCCACCTTCAGTGGCTTTGGTCATCATCAGAGCCATAAGGGTGAGGCCAGTGTCTACATCGGAACTGAAAGCCTACCTAGATCACACTTTGGACTTCAAGCTGAAGATGCTGGGCAGGTTGAAAGGAGGCATTGTCCATGGTCCTGTGGATATGACATGCCCATCTTCACTGGTTCACAGACATGGTTCTTATGCCCAAACATGTCCCTGTCATGTCAAACCTTTGAACCCTGCTACAGAAGGGCTTTCAGGCTCTTAAGTCCACACAATGTTCTCCCAACCTAAAACTAATCTAGTGTATCTCAGGAATCTTGACTATCTCCAACACCAGAGCATTCCTTTGGGTTTTGTCAATATTTGCTTCAATATATAAATTAGTTGCTCTACTGGTTTGAGGCCTGAAATGTAAGAATTTTAAATTGGCTTATGTGACTATTTTTATTTGAATCTAAGATGGTCTGACACAAGTGTTTATTATGAAAGAATTTTATTTTTTAATGACATTAGAATTAAAAGAATAGTTACCAGACTTACAAGAAAGCCTTAAAAAAAAACCTCATAGCTCTTTCTACAAGTAGATGTAAATGGTAAAATTGTCCATAATGAAATATATAAAGGGCTCAGGAATAATTGGTTTTATCTATTTCATGTAAGACCAGTTTGTTCTGTCTTCTTATGCGTGCCTTGTCTTTCATTTTTCTTAAGTGGATAAGCCAGAGTTCCTCATTTAGAAACCCAGATTTGAGTCAATTTATCTCTAATTACAAATCAAGCCCAAGAAGATCATTACCATCCAATCTTTTCATCATCCTTAAATTTGGTGAGCTAGTCACCTTGACAACCAGATTCAGATCACTGTGTTTTCTTCTGCATTGATGGGCCGCATGAAACCAGAGGGTGAGGTGGTCTCCACACGGTCCTCTGTTGGGTAGGTCACTGAGCCCGTGTTTCAACACGCCCATGTGTGGAGTTCACGTACTGGCCAGCTTGCCAAGAAGGAAAGCCCAGCTTCCAGTCAAGGAACCCAATGAAGGTCTCACCTGTTTCCCATGACCCTTAAGGTCACTGCATTGGGACCTGAACTCTGAACCCACTGAAGTCAAGTGCAGGCCAGATGGCAAGGAATCCATCAAAAGCCAGCTTTATGCTGCAGTCAACCAGGTTGACTTTTCCAGGGCATATGTGGGTGGTGAGGCTTGTTCTCTCAGTGACCATTAGAGACAAGGACTGGGTCAGCCCAGGGGTCTTGGAGCTTGAATTTCTAAATTGTGAAATATAAATGTTTACCCTATTTTTATGTATGTCATTTATTTTTTGAAATCTTTATTGATATATAATTCACACTTTACTAGTTAGAGAGTACAATGCAGTGGCTTTAGTATATTCACAGAGTTGTGCAGTGATCACCACAGTTAATTTTAGAACATTGTCATCATCCCTGAAGAAACACCCTGCTCCTTTTATCAGTCATTCTCCATTTTCCCTTAATCCCCCTCCAAACCCTAAGCGACCACCAACCTGCTTTCTGTCTCTGGAAATTTTGTATAATGTAATCACACAAAAAATCTTTAGTTTTTTGTGACAGGATTTTTTCACTTAGAATGATGTTTTCAAGGTTCACCCACATCATAGCATTATCAACATTTTCTTTGTTTTGCTGGATAAATAATACACGGTTATATGAGTATACTACACTAAATTCATCCATGTATCAGTTGATGAACATTTAGTTTGTTCATGCCCACTTTTTGGCTACTATGGCAAATGTCCTGTGAACACTCATGTACAAGTTCTTTTATGGACACATATTTTCATTTCTCTTGAGTATATACGTGGGAGTGGAATTTCTAGCTCATATGGTAACCTTTTAAGGAACTGAACATTTTACAATTCCCGCCAGCATGTGTATGAGCTTTTCAGTTTCTCCACATCTTCACTGATGTTTGTTATTATCTGTCTCTATTTATAGTCATTCTTGTGGATACAGTGTCAATACTGTGGTTTGAATTTGCATTTCCCTGATGGCTATAGATGGTGAACATTTTCTCATGGGCTTATTGGCCACTTGTATATCTTATTTGTAGAAATACCTATTCAGAACATTTTCTCACCTGTAATTGGATTATTAATCTTGATTATTGAGTTATAACTGTTTTTGAACATATTTTAGATAGAAGATCATTATCAGATTTTCAAAAAAATTTTGCCATTCTGTGAGCTGTCTTTTCACTGTCTTGACTGTATTTTTTGAAGCACAAAGTTTTTAAATTTTGATGTTTTCTTTGTCACGGTACTTTCGTGGTGTGAAGATTTATGCCTATACTTTCTTCTGAGAGTTTCATAGTTTTAGCTCTTATATTTAGGTCATTGATTTATTTTGAGTTATTATTTTGTTTAACGTGGTGTGAAGTAATGGTCTAATTCATTCTTTTCCATATGGACATCTGGTTGTCCCAGCGCCATTTGTTGAAAAGACTATTCTTTTCCCTATTGAATTGTTTTAGGACCCTTGTCAAAAATTAATGGTTCATAAATTTAGGGTTTATTTCTGGACTCTCACTTCTAGTCCATTGATTTATATGTCTGTCTTTATGCCACTACCACACTGTCGTGTTTACTGTCACTTTATAATACATTCTAAAATAGGTAAGTGTGAGTCCTTCAATTTTGTTGTTCTTTTTCAAGATTGTTTTGAGGGTTTTGGATCCCTTGAATAATTTTCATATGAATTTTAGGATCAGCTAGTCAATTTTTACAAAAAGGACAGCAGGGATTTTTATAGGTATTGTATTGAATATATAGATCAGTTTGGAAGGTTTTCATATCCTAACGGTATTAGTCTTCTAATCCATAAATACAAGATATCTTTTCATTCAATTAATTTATTTGTTAGTTTTTTTCAGCAATGTTTTTTAGTTTGTAGGTTATAAGTCTTATGCTTATTTCATTATATTTAGTCCTAAATATTTTGTTCATTTTGATGCTATTATGAAGGGAATTGTTTTCTTACTTTCATTTTCAGAGTGTTCATTGCTAGCATATATACAATTGATTTTTGTATATTGATTTTATATCCTATAGTCTTTATAAACTCATTTTTATTAAGGAATACTTAACAAAATCGCATATTTATAAAGTATACAATTGGATGTTTTGATATGCATTGTGAAATGATAACTGTATTCAAGTTAATTAGCATATCTATCATCTTACCTAGTAGTTAGCATGCTCTATTTTTTTCTTTTTTTTTTTTTAACCCTTTTTTGGGAGGGGTGTTGCAGGGGGTTACGGATGAGAATACTTAAGATCTACTCTCTTAGCAAATTTCAAGAATACAATACAGTGTTATTCACCGTAGTTATCATGCTGCACATTTGCTGCCCAGAATGTTTTTGACTTGTACAACTGAAGCTTTGTACCCTTTGATCAACATTCTCTTCTCCCTGCTTCTATGAATTTGACGATATTAGATTCTTCCTATCGGTGAGAATATACAGTTTGTCTTTATGTGCCTGGCTTATTTCACTTAGCATAGTGTCCTCTGGGTTCATCCATGTTATAAAAAAATGACAGGATTTTTCCCTTTTATAAATCTGAATAGTATCTCATTGTGTGTATATATGCCACAGTTTCTTTATCCATTCTTCCTTCAGTGGGCCTTAGGTTATTTCCGTATCGTGACTTTCGTGAAACATGCTGCTGTGAAAACATGAGAGTGTAGATATTTCTTCAAGATACTGATGATTTCGCTTCATTTGGATATATTTTTAAAGTAGAACATAGCTCTATTTTAATTTTTTGAGGAACTTTCACACTGTTTTCCAAAATGCCTGCAACCAATTTATTTTCCCATCAGCAGTGTACAAGGATTCCCTTTTCTTCACAATCCTCACCAGCACTTTGAGTTTGTGTCTTTTTGGTAATGGCCATTCTAATAGGTGTGAGGTGGTATTTCATTGTAGTTTTGATGTGCATTTCCCTGATGATTCGTGATGTTGAGTGTGTTTGCATATTCCCGTTGGCCATTAGCTTGTCTTCCGAGGAATGTCTATTCATTTCCTTTGCCTACTTTTAAATCAGATTGTTTTCTATTTATTTCCTTTGCCCATTTTTAAATCAGATTTTGTTTTTGCTATTGAGTTGAGTGAGTCTCATATATGTTGAATATTAACCCCTTATCCAATGTATAGCTTGCAACTGTTGCCGCCTTTTTTTTTTTTTTTTTGAGTTGGAGTCTCTGTCGCCCAGACTGGAATGCAGTGGCCACTTCCGGCCACCGCAGCCTCAACCTGCTGGGCTCTGGCGATCCTTCCAAGTAGCTGGAACTACAGGCACGCGCTACCATGCCCAGCTGATTTTTGATTTATTGTAGAGATGAGGTCTCGCCAAGTTGCCCAGGCGGGTCTCGAACCCGTGGGCTCAGGCAATCCACTCACCTCAGCCTCCCAAAGGCGCAGGATTACAGCCTGAGTCACCAAACTGTTGTCTTCTATGCTGTGAGTTGCCTTTTCTCTCTGTTGATGGCTTCCTTTGCTGTGCAGAGATTTTTAGTTTCATGTCCTTCCACTTTTCTATTTCTGCTTTTGCTCCCTGTGCTGTTGGTGTCATACTGAAAAACTAATTGCTCACACCAATGTCAAGAAGCATTTTCCCTGTTTTCTTCCAGTAGTTTTATGGGTTAAGGACCTATGTTTAAGTCCCGAATCCATTTTGTGTTGATTTTGGTGAATGGTGTCAGATAAGGGTCCATGTTCATTCTTCTGTATGTGAATATCCAGTTTTCCTAGCAGCAATGCAATTAGAATTTGGGTTCAGAGGAAGCTATTTGCATATTGGGTTTTTCTGTCTTTGAGAATCTTGAAATGCAAATATTTCAAATGTGTGGCCTCCACACCCCAGCACCCAAGGAATTCCTATCAGTGACAGCACTCACCGCTGCTAGGAATATCCTTAGCATCCCCTGCAATTCTAAAAATCCCTCTAAGTATTCCAATACCTTTGCCTGCCCTTCAATACTGCTATTTAAGCCCTTAAGAGCTAACGCTTTAGCAAACACGATTCAGATAGGCAGAACCTTCTTTTACAAGTGAAACCTTAGCAAAAGCCACAATAAATTAAGAGTGAAGCTGCTGTGTTTGAAGGGAGTGATGGACAAGAGGGGAGGCCACCATCCGGCCTCTGACAACCTCCTCTCCTCTGCTCCTAAGCACTTCCTGGGGATTACCTTGGAAGGAAGTTTCCTGAAACAAGTTCCTTGTTTGGGTTTTTGTTTTGCTTTTGTTTTTAGTCAGGGTCTCACTCTGTCACCCAGACTGGAGTGTACTGGAATGATCGTGGCGTATTGCAGCCTTGACCTCCTGAGCTCAAGTAATCCTTCTGCCTCATCCTCCCAAGTAGCTGGGACTACAGATGCATGCTACCATTACCAAATAATTTTTTGTAGAGACGAGATCTCACTATATTGCCCAGGCTGGTTTCAAACTCCTGGGCTTAAGCAATTCTCCTGTCTCGGCCGCCCAAAGAGCTGAGATTACAGGTGTGAGCCACTTGCCTGACCTGGAACAAATTTTTATAGTTTGGAAACCTCTATCTTAGGAAATCTGTTTTTTTTTTTTTAGTTGGAGTCTCACTCTTGTCACCCAGGCTGGAGTGCAGTGGCATGCTCATAGCTGGGCTTAGGCAATCCTTCTGCCTCCTGCCTCGGCCTTCCAGGTAGCTGGAACTATAGACGCATGCTGCCACGCCCAGCTAGTTTTTGTGATTTACTGTAGAGACGAGGTCTCTCCAAGTTGCCCAGGCTGGTCTCAAACTCCTGGGCTCAGGCAATCCTCTCACCTCGGCCTCCCAAAGTGCTAGGACTACAGGTTGAGCCACTGTGTCAAGCCAGAAATTTTTTAAGAGGCCAGTTTATCATGCAACTGAAAGAGGGAAGTAGGGCACATATACATTTACCAATCTAGCCACGATTGCAGCATGCCTCATCTATGCGGTTTCATCTTATTTTGCGAGTTTCCTTTGAGAGGTAGGAAAGTGAAGGGGTTCAGTCACAAAGTTGCAGTTGCAGACCAAAGAGCAGGGCTTCTACTTTTTTGATCTTATATTTGTTGGGTATTTCCCAGGTGCTATCAATGAGAAGGCCACGCATCCTGGGTACTATGAAGACTTAGTGGAGAAGTCCATGGGGAAGTATAACCTCGCCACAGAGGAGATTGAGAGGGATTTACACCGCTCCCTTCCAGAACATCCAGCTTTTCAGAATGAAATGGGTATTGCCGCTCTGAGAAGAGTCTTAACAGCTTACGCTTTCCGAAATCCCAACATAGGTTACTGCCAGGTAAATGTTATAGATTTCTATTTTCTAAAAAGAGGTAAAATAAAATTTCTATCTGCCCGTAAACAACGTGAAGAAAAGATTTATGGTTGGGGAGCTATCACTTCACCAAGGTGTCTTAATGATGGCACTGTTGACATTGTGGACTGGATCATTCTTTGTTATGGGTGCTGGTCTGTGCTGGGTGGGATGTTTAGTAACATCCCTGGACACTACCCACTAGATGCCTGCAAAATTCCCTCATTGTGACAGCCAAAAGTGTCTCCAGACGTTGCCAGTTGCCCCTGAGGCACAGAATCAACCTGGGCTGAGAATCACTACCCTGAGCGGAGATGCTGAGAGACACGAGCACCCTTTCTGGATTCACCACTGCCTGGCTGGGTGACCTGGAAAAGATCCTTCTGATCGCTGTCTGCTCCGCCCTTCATCCTACCCTGGAGGAATAGAGAGCATGAGTCAGCACTGGCTGGTCCTTTCACTGTGGATTGCCATGATGTGTTCCTACTTTGAATCCTTTTAAACAATAATGTCCTTGAGAAGACAGCTTTTAAATGCTAGGGTTATGTTTAAACACACATTTAAATAAATGCTGACGCAGTATAAAAATGTTACCCACGTGCCAATGAAAATCGTCTCTTGCATGAGTATATAGGACACAATTTGGGAAGCTCCAAGATAATATGACTTCAGGTTTAAAGGCCACATCATCAGAGAGGCCTTCGAACGCGAAAGCAGGTTTAACTCCTGCTCTTACACACACACACACACACACACACACACACACGTTAGTCTCCCTATACTGCATTAGTTTATCTTTTTGATAGTACTCCATTTAAATAAACTCCCATATTAACTAATTAACCTTTCGATCTTTATTTTATTAGTATCTTCCTAACATCAGCATTTAGGGCCTCTGAGACTTGTCACCACCATGTACCCCATCACCTAATACCTAGACTAGTGCTTGTTAGACAGTAGACCCTTCAAAAAAGCCTACCTTGACTGAACGACTAAGGAACTGGGACTGTGACCATCATCACGTGCTAAAATTAACAGGTTAATTTTCAAGTGGAATTTTAATAATGATTTCACTTGGGAAAAAATGAGTAAGACTTACAAGAAAGAGCCTATTAGGCCAAAATGCCTTTTTTGAAATGTATATTGTAGAAGTTTGGTGAAAAATGACTAGTTTCTAGGAACTCAAAAGAAGCCAAGGAGTTAGTTGGCTTCTACTATCATCGAGCTCATATTTATCGTTTGATCTTCCTCTTTTTTAATTAAGAGGACTATTAAAGTAGTTGAGCCTGGAGTGGTTATGCGCTATCTGATCATATCTTTTAATAAGTTTCCTTCAGAATTTGAATCACTCTTACTTATCACTACCGTTTCTAGCCAGATGGAAATAATGGGTGAGGACTCCAACTTTGAAAGCTTTCATTGTTCTCTGAGAATGGCCTCAAGCCATGTGTATATGATTATAAAAACCATGATGAAAGTTTACAAAGGCAGTATTGACCTTATGGCATTAAGGGTGAAGACTACTGAGAGATTTTAGCGTGAGTTTAAAAGCTTTGTCAAATAGCCTTTGGGCAAAGTTTTTGAATGAGGGTTTTCCTGTACAATTTAGGGCTCAATCTGATGAATATTGGTGTTCATGAAGACCCTGCACAGCATTAATGGTTTTTATATTTTTAAAGGGTCATAGACAAAGCAAGACTCACAAGAATATGTGACAGATACTATGTGTGGTCCACAAAGCCTAAAAATATTTATCTGACCTTTTACAGGCAAAAAAGAAAAAAAAATATATCGCTGGCCCCTGTAAGCATAATTCAGTGAATTTTTTTTTTTTTTTTTGGCTTAACAAAATTGCTTATATCTTCATCTGTATCTGATGAGTCTTTCTCTCCTTTTAGGCCATGAATATTGTCACTTCAGTTCTGCTGCTTTACGCCAAAGAGGAGGAAGCTTTCTGGCTGCTTGTGGCTTTGTGTGAACGCATGCTCCCGGATTACTATAATACCAGGGTTGTTGGTACGTGGGAATGTGGTTCACATTTTGACCTATGTCTCATCAAGAAGGTGTTTTTAGAGAGGTGCCAACTGGCACACTATTTCCAAACCATAAGCCGAAAGAGTTTCAGACGACTCCAGATTTTTTTTCAAAATGGAAATGAGAGTGCTTGAATAAATATAGATTGTCCACAAAGGAGCTCCGTGGAGCCTAAGGCATACACACATTTCACTGTTACAGAAGTCATTTTAGAAAGCATTTGAAGTGGAGGCCGGGTAAGGTGATTCACACCTGTAATCCCAGCACTTTGGAAGGCTGAGATGGGATAATTACTTGAGTCCAGGGGTTTAAACCCAACCTAGCAACATAGCAAAACCCCATCTCTACAAAAACTCAAAAAATTAGCCAGGTGTGGTGGTGCATACATTTAGTCCCAGCTACTTGGGTGGTTGAGGTGGAAGGATCACCTGAGCCTAGGAGGTCGAGGTTACAGTGAGCTGTGATCGTGTCAATGCACTCCAGCCTGGGCATCAGAGTGAGACCCTGAGGAGGGAGGGGAGGGAGGGAAGGGGAGGGAAAGAAAGAGGGAGGAAGGGAGGAAGGAAAGAAAATAATAAAATAATTAAAAAAGAAAGCATTTGATATGAGTGTTACTCTGTGACATGTGAGAGTGACACAAAGTACACCAACCATCAACACAAGATATGACCAAGAAAAAAAAGCCTTCATAAAGAGGATGGAACCAGTGGAATGCAGAAGTGTTCTACAAAAGGTTATCTGGGGTGGAGAAAATGCTGTATAGAGATTTATCCAAAGCTATGTTTCTGAGGGATTTTTCAGAACTGGTTTATCACAAAGTAAACACCTGTTCTGAGCATTGAAACAAATTACTACTATTACTCCTTTCGATGCCCTCAAATATTAGACATCCATTTCAGGACAGCTTCTCATGGCTAGTGTGGGCCAGTGTGTCCTTTATTCTTCCTCTTGTATTCTGTCTATCTGTGCACACTAATTTGATTCATTTAAAATGTTACCCAAAAATGTCAGCAAATTCATCATGAATGTGTACAGTGGAAATGCTTTTAAATTACAAACAAAACAAACAAAAAACCCCAATTGTTTTAAAAAATGACTCACCTATGTGGACCATGTATCCAGAAGAGTGATTTTTTTTTTTTTTAATAAACAAGAGTTTCCCAAATTAACTGCTTCAGTATACATCTGGAGCTACAGTCATGCCCTGGCATGTACCCATTCTATATTTAGTTATGTTTAGATAACTCATCTTGTGCCCATTGCCTGCGGTACTCAGTACACCAACAGGCTATACAGGTAACAACCTAGGAGCACTAGGCCATACCAGGTAGCCTGGGTGTGTCGTCGGCTATGCTGCTGGGTTTGTGTAAGGACATTCTGTGATGTTTCTACAGTGATGAACTTGCCTGTCACAAAGCAGACCCTTCAATAAGCATATTTTGATCAAACAACGAAGGAACTGGGTAGGACTGTGACCATCATCACGTGCTAAAATTGACAGGTTAATTCTCAAGTGGAATTTTAATAATGATTTCACTTGGGAAAATAATGGGTAGGACTTACAAGAAAGAGCCTATTAGACCAAAATGTCTTTTTTGAAATGTATATTGTAGAAGTCTGATGAACAGTGACTGTTTTCTGGGAGTTCAAAAGAAGCTGAGGAGTTAATTGGCTTCTACTATAATAGAGCTCATAATTATTGTTTGATCTTCCTCTTTTTTAATTAAGAGGACTATTGAAGCAGTTGACAATGCATTTCTCAGAACACAGCTCCCTCGTTAAGTGACGCATGACTGTACTTAGCTGTACTTTTCAACCTAACCACACATTATGTTGCCAGCACAAAAGAACAGATTGTATGTCCTGAAAACTTTGTAAACTGGTCTTTTCAACAAGGCTTATCATTGTCAGGAAGAGAAGATGCAGCCAGAACTAACTGGTGACTGAGCTGTGCTGACACCTTGGTCTCTAGTAACACAGTAGCAGCCTAAGAGTTAGCAGTTTGTATTAGCAGTCATTGTGAACTGGATTATTACATCAAGCAATTTAATTAGGTTCTTTAGTAAGAAAGCGTCATTGGCTGTGTGCTTTTGTGTCCCCTCCCCCTGCTACAGGTGCACTGGTGGACCAAGGTGTCTTCGAAGAGCTAGCGCGAGACTACGTCCCACAGCTTTATGACTGCATGCAGGACCTGGGCGTGATTTCCACCATCTCCCTGTCTTGGTTCCTCACGCTGTTCCTCAGTGTGATGCCCTTTGAGAGCGCGGTTGTGGTCGTTGACTGTTTCTTCTATGAAGGAATCAAAGTGATATTCCAGCTGGCCCTCGCGGTGCTGGACGCGAATGTGGACAAGCTGTTGAACTGCAAGGATGATGGGGAGGCCATGACCGTTTTGGGAAGGTATTGTACTCAGCCTGTCTGAAAAGCAGCTCTGGTTTTCTTTGCTGTCTCGCTTTCTCCTTTGTTTCATGAGTCTTAACTGACTTCATGGTCATTAGAATGCCCACTTCTTTCTGTGGTTGAGGATTTTTTTTTCTATACTTTTTCTTTAGAAGTTAAGAAACTTTCATTTTGCTTTTAAGGAAACTCTAGTCTTTTGCAGGCCAGGTGAGGAGGTTCATGCCTGTAATCCCAGTACTTTGGGAGACTGAAGCTGGAGGATTGCATGAGCCCAGAAGTTCAAGACCAGCCTGGGCAGCCTCGTGAGACTTCATGTCTACAAAAACAAAAAAATTAGCCAGGCGTGATGGTGCATGCCTGCAGTCCCTGCCACACAGGAGGCTGAGGCAGAAGGATCGCCTGAGCCCAGGAGGCCAAGGCTGTGGTGAGCTGTGATTATATCACTGCACTCCAGCCTGGGTGACAGAATGAGACCCTAACTCAAAAACAAAATAATAATAAGAGCTTGTAGAAAATGACTGGAAAATTTTCTATCATGGGAAAATTCCAAGTTCGTCTCCTAGTGACTTCTGATTTATTTCTTCCTCTAGGTATTTAGACAGTGTAACCAATAAAGACAGCACACTGCCTCCCATTCCTCACCTCCACTCCTTGCTCAGTGACGATGTGGAACCTTACCCTGAGGTAGACATCTTCAGACTCATCACAACTTCCTATGAGGTAGGTCTGGTTTCCTATGGAGCTCAGCTGCCCATGTGTCCCACACTTCCACTGCTAACGTGTCTTAGCTGTTTCATGCTGCTGTCACAGAGTTCCACAGAATGGCTAATCTGTAAAGAACAGAAATGTATTTCTCGTTTCTGGAGGCTAGGCAGTCCAAAATCAAGGCACCAGTAGGTTGGGGCCCAAGCTCCCTGCTTCCAAGATGGTGCCTTGAACCCTCCCTGTTCCGGAGGGGAGGAACATTATGTCTTCACATGGCAGGAAAGCAGAAGAGAAAACCGACTCCCACGACACCCTTTCATGGTGGCGTTAATTCATTTGTGAGGGCAGAATCTTCATAACCTATATACCTCCGTTAGACCCTGCCTCCCAACACTGTTGTGTTACGGATTAAGTTTTAACATGAGTTTTGGAGGGAACAAAGCTATTCAAACCAAAGGTTTACCTGCTTCCTTTTACACTGTGAGAGCCACTTGTGGGAAGTAAGCCGCTGCCTGCTACCTGACAGCTTTGGTCTCCAGAGATGGACACTGCATGGAACTTGGGATTTCTGGTGGGTTAGATACTGTGGCAGCAAATGGCATGATAAGTTCTGGTCCTTCACTTCTTTGCTGCAATCCACCCTTAAGCCTGATCGAGTCACGCCTCAAATTCAACTCCCAGTGGACTGAGGAGAGGCTGCTGAGATCAGGCAGGGAGAAGCTGACCTTCACTCATCAGTTTGCTTCCTGTGCCCATACTAAGCACTTAGCTTTTCCCTGAATTAGCTAGTCTGAGACACTTTGGAGACCCTGTACACATAGTGGTGGTCAGGGTGCTAGCATTCCTTTAAACTTGCTTGGCCTAGAGGGGAGAGGATGCCTTCTGGTCCATGATGTCCCTGGATGCAGCCTGATCTGCCGATGTATCTCAGAGTAGAACTAACAAACTTCTGTCGATAAAAGAACCGCAGTGCTCTGTGTTCCCTAGCAACTGGTAATTTGTAGGGCCCCAAAGTCTCAATGCCCATAATACTTGATGATTTCTTTTTTTTTTTTTCCCTGATTCTTGACTCTGTAAACTTTTATAGAAATGATCATTAAGAAAGAGAAAGCATGAATGTTCTATTCAACACACTCTGCCCTCTACAGTTGTTTTGGGATCGTGTGAGTGGTGATTGTTAGTATCCCAGCTGACAGCAAACTGGGTAAGAGGAAAATAGTGAGGGCTGGATGAGGTGAGAAAGTCCCTCCTCAAGTCAAAAGTGTAGCACTGTTTTAAAGAGTCTGTATGGATCTAGAAATCTTTTCAGGAGTGTTAATGCATCCTTAACTCATAATGGGAGAAAGACTACTTATTTTTTAAATTGTTCATTGAAACTCCATGTGTGTTGAAAGCAAAACATTTCTAATTATTTTATAGAATCATAAAAGTAATGCATGATTATTGTAGAAATTGTAGAAAAATATGAAGATAAAAATAAGATATATGTTATGAGCATTTTGCCATATTTCCCTCAAGTATGTTTTTATGTTTACAACATGCACTTAAAAAATAAGGTTCTACTAAATACTGCTTTGTCATATTCTGTTTTTCACTTAAAATATACCACAGGCATTTTCTAATATGTTAGATATTGTTGAAAGACATGATTTTAATAAACTATTTGTATTCTGCTTTAGTAAGGTAACAAAATTTATTTAACTTGTTCCTTTTTGTTGGGTATTTACTTGGGTTTCTTCCAAATTTTCAATATCATATGGCATTCTTTGATAAACTTGTACACAAATACCACATTTCTGATTATTTTTTAGAGTCTTATAAATGAATTTACAGAAATATACTAGAAATATGAATGAGTTTTTAGTTCCTGACACACACTATCCCATTTCCATAAAGGTTGTCCCAATTTAGATTTCCACTCTGAGAGATTAAGAATGGCTGTTTCAAGTAACTGTCTCCAAAACTGATTATTAACCTAAAGCATTTTTTTTTTAAAGAATCATTGCCCCAGGTCTTTGGGATAGCTTTCTGTCAGAAATGTTAGATGATTTGTTCTTCCAGGAAAAAAAAAGCCCCTGTGATTATACAGAATAATTTGTATACCTGTGGGTTGTTTTTCTAAAGGCATCCCCTGGACCTTTATTGTTAACAAAATTTTGCACCAAATTCATCAAGCTTAGTGTGTGGAATATCACCTTTGTTCTTGATGGCAGATAAGCTGACATTGTACTGAGGTCAGCACTTTGCCCATTTTACTGGGAAAGAGAAGAGATTGAGGCAAGACCCAGGGCTGGTTTTCCTTTACATCCTGTCTGGCTGACCCCTGATGTTGGCCCTCAGGCTGCCAAATATCCCATCACAGGACATGGCTGCAGCTTCCTTCCTCTGCCTGGGAAGACAACCCCTTTTACTTATATCAATATCTCCATTACCTGGTCTTTCAGTGCATGGTAACAGGCTTTTTGTTTCTTCTTCTCTGCTTAGGGGACACGACTCTGCTCGTTTGCCAGTGACTCTCCAATGCCTTACAGATCAATTTAAAGAGAACGCCACAACCTCATGCCCTTCCTTCTTCCCACTCCTAACCATTGGTGGTTCTCAATCCTGACTGTGCATTAAATCGCTTTTTAAAAAATATAAATTCCCAGGCTCCGCTTCAGACCAATTAAATCTGAACCTCTGGCACTAAGCCCAAGAGTCAGTATTTTTTTTTTAAGTTGCCCAGGCAATTCCAAATGCCTGGTGAGGATTGGGATTGGGATTCATAGCACCAGATGCAGGATGGAGTGATCATTAACGTAGATTAGAACCTGGCTTGGGCTGAGACATGACACCTAAGTGTTCCAAGGCTCAACAACACATTTCTTTTTGCTCTTTGGGATAATTAGCCATGACAATTGAAAAGTGGGGAAAAATTACTGAAAGCACATTCATCTTTTGAGATTTGGTCAAAGGTTCAGATCAGATTGAGTCTGGTGAGGAGAGATGATAATGTCACTTCATAATGCCTCATGGGGAAGATCTCACTCATTGTAAGTTCTCCTAAGCCCCTATTGATTGTTGTTTGCTTGTTTGTTTTGAGGCAGAATTTTACTCTATTGTCCAAGTAAGGGGACAGTGACACAATCACAGCTTCCCACAGTCTCAACCTCTTGAACTCAGGCGATCCTCCTGTGTCAGCCTTCTGTGTAACTGGGACTACAGGGGCATGTCACCACACCAAGCCAATTTTTCTTTTTTTGTAGAGGCGAAGTCTCGCTATGTTACTTAGTCTGCTCTCAAACTCCTGGACTCAAGTGATCCTCCCGCCTCAGTCTCCCAAAGTGCCGGGATTACATGTGTGAGCCACCGTGCCTGGCCCCTGTTGGAAGGAATTGTTTGGATGGCTTGAGACTCCAGTGTTCTATGGGTCCTGTGTATAAGGCTCTGCACTTTTGGCAGACTTATGCAGAAGTAGAAGAGAAAGTCCTAACTTCATTTATTCATTTGTTTATTTTGAGTTGGATCTCACTACGTCGCCCAGGTAGGAGTACAGTGGCATGCTCACAGCCACCACAGCCTCCATCTGCTGGGCTCTGGCAAACCTTCCACCTCAGCCTTCCAAGTAGCTGGAACTACAGGCACATGCCACCATGCCCAGCTAATTTCTTGATTTTTTGTAGAGATGAGGTCTCACCAGGTTGCCCAAGCTGGTCTTGAACCCTCAAGCTTAGGCAGTCCTCTCACTTTGGCCTCCCAAGGTGCTGGTATTATAGGCATGAGCCACTGTGCCTGGCAAGAAACTCCTAACTTTAAAGTTCAACTCATAGACTGAGATGCCCACCCCTTGGGAAGGCACAGGATGATATTAATAGACCCTATAGCTGGCACACCGCCATCACAGAAGTTCTTCATGTTCAAGATGACCCAGCCCAGTGGGTTCAGTCTGGGCTATGTTAAGCAGAGAAAGAATGTGACTGATAAAATGCAAGGCATAATTTGTGCAGATGGACAGGCAGCTAGGAAAACTCAGAGTCTTGCATCTCTGGCTTTTTAATGATGACTAGAATAGCTACCACCCATTGAGGGCCTGCCATGGTGGGACAGAGTACTGCGTTTTTTGTTAACCCATTTTCAGGTTGAACATGTGAGTTGAGAGAGGTTGGGCTAGTTGTCACAAGCCTCATGGCCAGAAAAGTAGCAGAATCAGAATCTAAGTAGGAACTTTCTAGCTTTAAAGCCACAGCCAAGAGAGTTCATCTAGATTAGAACGGAGATGGAATTGTGGATGGAACTGTGGTCATGAGGTCAGTTGGTCCAGTGGAGGCTGGGTAGTGGGGGGATCTTGAGACCTCTAATTGATTTGCGAGGCACCTAGCAGCCAGAGGAGTCTGGGGAGAGTTCTTTATCAAGTATATCATTTCTGCTCCCTATGTAACACGTGGGAGATGAGGAGAGCTGACAGAATAGACAAGCAGAGAAGATGCTCCTATTGTACCAGGGAAAGACCCAAGAGATGCTAGAAATGGGGCTTGTCTATTCATTTATTCAGAACATCTTCGTTTAAGATTGTCTGAGCACCTGTCTTTTGCGAGGCATCTTCCTCAGCTCTGGGGATACATTAGCTTCACTGGGTATGCATTTTTCTTCATTCTTTCTTTTTAACATATAGATGTTACCAACCACAGTGTGAGTCAAAAGGATAACATGATACATTTCCATTAATCCGTCACCCAGTCCCATCCGTTATCAACATTTTCCTGATCTGTGTTTTATCTAACTCCCCCCTTGATCCCTGTTTTTCCCAGAATATTTAAAAGCAAATTCCAGACAGTACATTATTTCACTTGTAAACCCTTCATTATGTGTCTCTAACATGTACATTAAGTTTGGATAAGGCATTTTTGCTTTGACTTTCAAGTATAATTTTGAAGTTTGTTTATCCCTCAAAAAAAAGTTGACCTGTAAGTTGGTTATCACCAGTTGTAATGGAACTGTAATTATAATATTTGCAAGTTTTGCCTGATTTTAAAATA